TCGGGGGCGGCTGGAGCCCCCCTGCTCTCATCTGCCGGGGCTCCGGGGGTGCTTGCCCCGGGCACAGGCAGTGCTCCCTGGGCTCAGCTGGGGGAGCTCCCTGGCCTGCCGGGCGTGAGGCCGAGCCGCGGAGCTCACTGCACCCTCTGTGCCGGGGCGGGGGCGGGGAGGGCAGCACTTGGGCTGCAATTAGGGACCTACGGCCCCTCTGCAGGCCCGGGGGGGTGTCAGGCTGTGGGGAGTGACGTCCCGAGCCACGTGGGTGCTGCGTGGCTCGTAGTGCCTGTCAAGCAGCGGGGTGCGCAGCGATCGGGCTTGCAAGTTTCCGTTCCTTCCCTTAAGGCATCATTTGGGGCTGCAGCAGGCCCGGGCTGGGAGGTCTCCGTTGTCTGCTCTCGGGGTCATCTTGCCGAGCTGCGGTGTGGTGCTGCCCTGCTCGCAAAAGGGTCAAGCACTGACAGTCTTTCACACCCCCAAGCCCGAGCTACGGTGTGGTGCTGCCTAGCTCTATGGGCGGTCAAGCACTGATGGTCACTTGAGGGGGCTTGTGCCCTCTCAAGGCCATTGGGAAGCGCAAGCACATTGGTTGCCACCAGAAAAGAGAAGCAGAGAAGAGAACAGAAAAGCAGGTGAGAGCTGGTCTGCTATTTAATGGACTAATAAAATTGATCTGCCAGCCACCTCCTTGGTGCCTGGTGTCTTTCACCCCCAAGTTCATCCTTCCCCCCTGCGCTTTCTCTTCTCTTCTTCCCTGTTATTTCACATCCAAGTTTCCCCACCCGCTGCCCCCTTTTGTTTCTGCAGTGGTTCCCTTGTAACCACTGCATGCTGAGTACCTACAAGCTTGTCACCCAGGATGCTGAATCCCTTGCTGAAAAGGGATTAGTGGTAGACATCGCTTGACTTGGCTCTCCGGGAGTCAAGTGTCAGAGATTGGACTGGCCACCTGAGGCTGCAGCCCCGAATCCTGCAAAGCAGGTCCCCTTTGGGGGGGGTCCATGCATATCGCCCCCCGAAAGACAAAGAGACAAGATGGCAGGCGAATGGGAGTAAGCAGACCGGGA